AATACGGTGGCAAGAATCTAATCCAGCTAACAATCCAACAAGAAAACAAGCATCGTGTGTCGCCGGCTTAAGAGTAAAAAATTGACCAATCAGGGTAAATTTTCACGAGCTGCTCAAACCGGCTGTTTCAGCGACAAAAAGAATCACGTGATCAAAATGGGCGTTTGATATTCGTCAATTTTGACCACATGATTCTTTTTGTCGCTGAAACAACCGATTTGAGTAGCTCGTGAAAATTTACCCTCAAAGTCGATTATTCTTCTCACATTCGACTGTGATTGGTCAATTTTTTACTCTTGCTTCTTACTCCGTGTATTGTAGACGAGCCTTCACAGTCGAACGACAGGGAAATGCTCGACTGTAGTTGGTTGGTTCTTACATTCTGATCCGGTTTTAACCCTCGGTGGAAACTAGGCCATTGGCTGCATTCAGTGGCTGCGTTCAGCAGAGAAAGTAGCTTTGCAACTGTTGTAAAATTCTTAAATATGATTGATTTATACATTTAGATCTAGTGAGAAACTAAAGGCAAGACCAATCATATTAAAGAATTTTACAACAGTTACAAAGCTGCTTTCTCTGCTGAACGCAGCCAATAGGTGCATCCAGAAGCACGACCGCTCATTGAGCGCTCATTGTGCTCTTGTATCTGTTTGGACTATATTTTTCGATCTAATGGAATATGCCAATCAGATGCAAGAGCTCACTGAGCACTCAGTGAGCGGTCGTGTTTCTGGATGCACCCACTATTATGCGTGGTCTACAATGGCAGTAGTAGTAGTGGATTAGGTTGTAAGAGTAAGAAATTGACCAATTGCAGTCGATTATTCTTCTCACATTCGACTGTGATTGGTCAATTTCTTACTCTTACAACCTAATCCACTACTGCTACTGTCATTGTAGACCACACATTACAACCGCTCACTGAGCGCTCAGTGAGCTCTTGGGTGCTTTCCAGCAAGGACACAATCAAACACAATGTAACACAGTGAATCGTTTCATCCTTGTTTAACGTAAGCAAACAACAAGGACGTATGATTCACTGTGTTACATTGTGTTTGACTGTGTCTCTTGCTGGAAAGCACCCCTTGTATCTGTTTTGTCTATATTTTTAGATCTAACGGAATATGCCAATCAGAACCAAGAGCTTACTGAGCGTTCAGTGAGCAGTTGTAGTACTGAATGCACCTAATGTTGCGTTTAGCAGACTTCAACAGTTTTGCAACCGTTTTGTGATTCTTCGCTGAGATAGGACTATTCCTTTAAATCTAAAAGTATAATCCAATCAGCGCGACGAATCATAAAACT